CATAGTGTGCTAAAGCCCTGCCAGACTATGAAATTTCATTAGACAAAAACATGTGATATAGCTAACTTTGGTCAGGATGACATCACATAGGCACATCATGATTATATATGGGCATACTAATTTAAAAGATTTGAATAAGTCATGAACCTCCCATATCGCAAACTGAAAGTGATTACTCATTACAAAAACTCTTTAAATTTACTACCAACTAATTCAAAGAATTTGCAAATATAAGAAGCGTATTATTTATGCGATTGTTTACATTTATGTCTGGACATCTTGTAAAAGACTAACAAGTTCATTGCTTCAATTTGCAAAATGGCTTTTCTCAATTTTATACTATCAAAAAAGAACTTATTCATGGGAAATTGTTTTGCTGGAGGTGGGCTCTGAATAAAAAGTATGGTCACGCATTTGGTATCATGCCTTATCTAGAGGGTATTTTTTAAAGCATCAGCCATAAAGTAAAAAAAACATAAATTTGATTTGATCAACCATAATAATGTTTATACAGTAACTTTAGGGTTCTGGTTACTTAATCATTCAGCAATATTTGCAACAGGCTCTGGCAAAACCTGCCGCTTGTTGTAATTTATAATTTCGCACAAACGCCCAAAACGTTTGAGAATCAGAATTTTGAACATATTCATGTTTTTTTGCATTTTATAAAGGAAGATATATAGAAGACAAATTCTGCAAACTATCAGTCACTAAATCTAATTGAAAAGTATATTAAAATTATTTTTACAATACAAATTTTAATAATAAACTATTGATTTTGGAATCTTTGGAATCTGCTCTCTTAAAACCAACATGGCTGAATGATAATATCCAATGAAGTCAATATTCATAAATTTGCTAAATACTCAACCAATTTCTATCAAATAAAGACTGTTCTAAAAAAGAATTCATGCAGAATCTCAAACACCAAAAACTCAATTTTGAAATTTTCCCACAAACGGCTGGTTTTGGCACAGCCGATCACATTTTATTAAGGTAACCCACCCAGCATGAGCCCCCAGTAGAGAGAGATTGACAAGCTGCACTTGTCAATCACTTTGAACACTTCAGTCCTATGTCTACAAATTTTATAGCATGTCTCCGAACTGATCTTTCCATGTGTCCCAATAAGTCCAGTAGTACTGTTTCCTAACTTGGATCTGATTAACGTTATATAAGCAGTTTACTTTCAATTTGTTTGATAATTCTTTAAATTTCTTCTTTAGTTATCCCAACAGGTTGTATTGGTTTTGTTAGCAATATTGTTCAATGGGACTGACAACACATTTTATTGTGTTGCATATCTCAAAGCTAAGGTATTTGTGTGGGATGTTCTTGTATAATAGTCTCCGTCAAACTGTTCTGCAAAGAAAATTAAGCGGTTGTCTGAACCGCGAAGGTCCAGGCCTAAACCTTGATCTTGTTGCCTTCGCTGTTAATTTCCTTTACTTGGTCATTTTTTTCTCTACAAACCAAGCATTGTTTAGTATAAATTATCAACAATATAAATCACAAATGAGTAATCATGAAAAATTGGATGGAAATTAATGTTTAAAGATTTAATTTTGTTGCTGAATGAGAATGAGAGTCATTAACACTTACAAGGCCTGATGCCGTTCAAGAGATGTAATTTGAAATAAACAAATATGCAAAATTCCAAGGGCATACTAAACGATACAGAGTAAATCCTTTTCTTTTGTCCCAAATGCATGCAATAAAGTACAAGGGATTTGCCATTCAATATAGTAACAGGTCTACTCTTCAAATTATATCCAGTGTTTACTAATACTTTGGTAATATTTTACATTGAGTTATTTATGTCTTTGATTTTTTGTGAATTGCAAATCACTTTTATTTCAATTCACAAAGTTTATATAGTAAAAATGTTTATGCTTAAGATGTTGGAATAATTTCATATGGTTTGTAATATAATTATATTGTTTATAATATTTTTATTTTTCAATAATTTATATTTCTGTATTATTTTACTAATCAATTTCAATTCATTTCAATATGTTTTTGAAATAAAGATTTACCTGATGAGTAATGGCTATTTCGTTGAGGAAATAGCCATTATTCTTCAGGTGAATCTTTATCTCAAGAGTAGTGGCTATTTCGTTGAGGAAACGCAGAACAAATCAATCAATAACAGAACAATACACTTAATTTCAAAACTCAAATTAAAATACTTTGGACACATCAAACGCCAAGAGAAAACATTTATGGAAGGCAGAATTGAGAGAAAGAGAGGTAGAGGATGACCAAGAATACTTTGTGGAGGTACCCAGAAGAATTACTAAACATCAGTGTAGTTACAGGGAGGATGGCAACATAAAGAGCTTTTTTCTGTGTAGTTATCAGAGAAGCTACATCCAACTGAGGATAGGCAATACAGTACTAGTACTACTATCCATCCATCTATCCACTCATCTGCCCGTCTATCAGTCCATCCATGGAGGTGGTCCATCCATCCGCCTGTCCATTTATGGAGGTATATGGTCCGTTTGTCTACCCATCCCCCTATTTGTCTATTTCATTTATCATCTAATGTTCTACACTGTTTCCACTGCAGTCTGTTTATGAGGCCTGGGGAATTGATTTGTTGGGCAAAATCCAGACTTTTTTAGGATTGAACATAAGACCTTAGGATTTGCAGATGAGCACTTGACTACCATTCCACCACTCTTAAACAGTATGACTTGCCACAAGTTTCTTGTTATTATTTATTAGTATTTATCATTTTTGGGACAAGACATTGAACGATTTAATTTGAGGGATTAGAGGGTATGTGAAGTCAATTTAAGTTAATCACTGTGAAACCCGAATTTCACCCTGAAAATAGGGCCACCACTCATCTAGTCGACCACCAAATTATAAGTTTCAAATTATACCTGGAATTATCAGGCAAGTATAAATATATCACCAATATTTGTAAATGTTTCACCTGGGCTGATACTGTATCATGTTAAATTAAAAATATTTAGATGTGTGTGATTTACTAATGTAGACAAATAGATATGGAAAACCAAGCCAATACAACAAATGCTGAATGTAAAAAAGAACCTGCATCATAATAATAATAATAATGTTAATAACATTAATAAGCAATGTATCAAAGATCTTATAATTACAAGATGGCGCTCTCCGCGATTCTACGCGTCACAAATAGAAGGGTCAATATTCAGTAAAAAGACGCATAAAAATTAATTACTTTTGAAAGAGGGCACCCTAGTTGTTACCGTTGTTGCTATAGAATTTGCAAGCAGATGCGCTATCTTTAGTTAACGATCTCTGATGTCAAAGTTGAAAAGTAATAATTTTTTGCATGAGAGCACCCTACACTGCGTTATTATAGAATTTGCACGCAAGAAATTCGCGGAGAATGCTATCTTATAATTGTAAGATCTTTGCCATGTAGCTATAGTAAAGCATGAGGGCGCACTTCACTAAAAAAATGTGCACCTTCCCCAGGCATCCCCACCGCACTGAAAATTCACTGAGGAAAAAAGTCAATCAAAAAAAAAATCATCATGTATCACTTTTTGCCAGCTACCGTATATACTCGCGTATAAGTCGACTTCCGTATAAGAAGGTTTTGGACTATTTTTCGTATAAGACGACCCCTGTTTCAGGTTATTGAAATTCATATTTTTTGCTGCTTTTTATAATACTTGGTACTTTTAATAATAAAAAGGAAAAGGGGGTTTCTTTCAAAACCCCTCGAACCCCCCCGGCTACGGGCTTATTATATGCGAGCATATACGTAGTTTTCCATCACATAATCTTTCCCCCACCCCTTCAATAGCTTGGCCCCTACATCAACACTTCTAAGATACCCTTCTGAATAACAAATTGAGAGCATAACTCAGATTTAAATCTACGGTTGAATGTCATTTCATTTTCCAAGAATGATATGTAAATTTGGTTTTCAGTTAAATTATAAAACACAATTATACATAAATATCTAATAGTACATAAACACCTTATATTCAAGCATTGTATTTGTGAATGGCATCGGAGATTAAAGGTTGCCTGAAGCACTACCGTGAGGAGCGTGGGACACAGATGAATTTGAGGACGATTGTGATTGAATTTACGTTAAAGTGCATGTGATTCATCAGAATACTGTATACTGTATCTCATAATTGATTTATGTTGAGCAACTTCGGGTGGTTTATGCGAGAGTTCTGTTATACCTTGTTTAGCGACCCTCCGTCTGCCAATAACGATTATTTCGAATAAAAATAACATTTTTTTCTGGCCAATTACCCAAATGCACCCGTCGCCATAAAAAAAAATGGAAATTTCAGAAAAAAAGTTTTCCTTTACTTTAAGTATGCCCATCGCTGCTTTGAAATCTCAAAAAAAGGATACAGTAGGTATATTTCTTCCTAATTATATAAATTTAAACATTTTCTCCTCCCATTACTACACTCTTTATAGTCACAAATAACATTTTAGTACTATACTAATATATATTTCTATATATACAGTATTCGAATTATGTATTAAACAAATAATTAGTCATTGCATACAAATGAAAATCATATACATTCGTTTGGTGCCTGCTCAATGAAATGTATATGTTATCTACTAATGTATGATTTATTAAATGCGGTCTTCCATAATATTAGTCGTTGAAATTTAAAATTATAACTGACTTAGTCATCGATAGTTGTTTAGCAAGGACTAAATTAGCGTAGTTCTACTTCCTTGCAGCCTGACATAGCTTCGCCCTTGCTAAGGACCAATGCTAAATAGACGCGTTCGATGCAATATCGATCGAGCACAACAGAAAGAGACGGAAAGAACGTAACATTCACTTAACCAGTGACGACATATATTGAACGATTTACGGACGTAGATATTATATATAAATATCAAATTCACGACCTAAAATAGTATTTAAATGTATTATCTGCACTACTCGCTCTGTCAAAATTCGATGTATGCCAAACTAGTGTCGATGTACTCTGTTACACAATGTAAACAGTACTTACCTCCCCATCGGCTGACTTCCGCATGTAAGCACGGTTATTTTAGCTTCGAATGCGCTCACGCTCTTAAAATAGTCTTAATGGATGAACGCTTAACTACATGACGAGAATTCATTACTTCCTACGATTTTGTGTTTTTCCTTCGTCTATTCTTTCTATAAATGCGTATTACGAGTGTTGGCGGGACATGTACTCTTTGAAATACGTCTGTACCGGTTGTCCTTCCGAGGGTTTGTTTATCACGTGACAATAAATGAGAACTATGGAAACCTAACAGCAAGGTAGCAGGGCCAACACGTAAGGACAGGTGAAGGCGGGAGAGATCAAAGTCTGCGACCATAGAGGGTGCTATGAAGACACATAATTATTGTTGCCACAATTACTACAATCGGTCCGATGCAAGAATAATTCATTAGTAGGCATGCTTCCAACATAATACGCAACAGTTTTAAAAATTTGCACGAAATGGTTTAATAGGCCTATTAGGTCACGGATCTTAAGTATGTAGGTCATTGTCAATAGGTGGCCTTTCGCTTTCCATTGTCGTAAAAATGGGCCTATTATCCTGTTATATTTTCTATTTGCATAAAATAGTGACGGTAAATTGAAAAGAAATAACCTTTGAAATTTGGGAAATAAAGGTGTTTGCTGCCGTATGGAATGTGTTATTATTATTTTGTGTTTGTTATTGTTGTTGTTATTAGTTACAGCATGGAGGTATAAATATATTTTTATACCTCCTTGGTTACAGAGGCCTTTTGTACACTTCGTGTTATGCCTATTTCTAATGTTCAGTTAGTCTGCCATCATAGATCAATCAATAAAATGAGTAAGCTACATTGCAATGCGTATCTGCTGTCCCTTTTAGTCATATTAAACTTCTCTAGCCAAAAGATAGAGTTTCATATAGAATCTACTCAAAAGAATGCTCGCAGTCCATTTAAAATTTACTATAAATACGGGTGTTTCCATAGAAACGGAAACGTATCGATCAACATGTGAATTAAAGCGTCTTCTACCAATTTCGAACCAATGTCGGTATGCATTGATAATAGAGCCCAGGGGTTGTGCCAGGATTTGGTCGACGGGGAGGGGAATGTCCCCGACCATGAGAGACGTCCCCCACGAGAGAAAAGTTGACGTGACCGGGCGTCGCTCAAAATACTCCGAATGCTCCAGGGGGCGAATCCCCCCTAAAACTTTTGACAGTTTAAGATCGATATTTAAAGGCTTATTGGATCGATTTTATATTCTAATAATTGGCTTATGTATAATTTTTTTTTTTTTTTTTTTTTTTTTTTTGATTTGTGGTTTTCCTCTCCGACTGGAAGAGGGTAGCTCACGGAGAGGGGGGGCCTGCTACTCCCCCGGCCCACCCTCTCCTCATTGGCGCTACCTCTGGTACCCCTGTCCAGTCTATCACATTTCATTTGACAAAAACATGAGACATGCCAAATTATGGTCAGATGACATGACATCATAAGCACATCATGACTAGGCCTAGCCAAGGCCCTAAGCGTTTTTAGTCAGAGTTTGATAGTCTGGAAAGAGCTTTGGGCTGGGCCTACTTTAAATAATATATCACAAAATGCACCTTAAAATCAATGATAAACTAGCTGATATATTGTCTGTGTTGGGCTAAAAACATTTACAGTAAATTGTTCAATTATTTAGCCCCAGCCACTTTCTGTATTTAAGTAATGTTAAATTACTTAATAATATAACTTCATTACACCATGTGTAAGAATATAGCTTGAGATAAAATCTGGAAAAACCAGCATGTGGTTTTATCGCAAAATAAATAAATAAATAAAAACATTAAAAAATTAACACATGGTGTACAGAAAGTTTAATTAGAATTTTATTATTGATACTCGTTATGCAAAACTTAAAGAAATAAGATATTTCTTGTAAAAACATATAACAAAAAGATAATAAATATAGGCCACTACTTGCATCCTTACAAAAACAAATACGTCATTATCATTATCGTCAATCGTGCCTCATTCTTGATAATATACTCATAGGGTCTGTGATACTGTACAGGCTGAATATTATCCTTGATATGCTACTTAACTGTTGGGCAAGTGCTGTCTAACAAAATTGATGACGTATCGTATTCGTTATCGTTTTCTTGCGAAAACTCCATAATAATAGAGTTCACTAGAAATTGGCTAGCACCCACATAAGTAAGGATTTCGTTTTTTTAAATAGTATGAAGAAAATAAATTTTTTCGATATTAGAAGTTGATATCTAATCCCTAATTCAAATAAATTTTAAGGGGTTCTATTTCATCTCAGACAGTTGGAATTAACTTTTTAAAATGTTTTCACTTCATGCCAAGTTTTTACAATTTAAGTAGGCCTATTCGTAATAAGATCAATCAGTTTGTGCCTTAGGGTATAAGGCTCCCCCACAGTTTTAAGTGGGCCTATTTTTAAATTTCAATCAAAAGTTTTTACTGCCTGAGACGTGTGACAACCTAATTTAAAATAGGTATAGGCCTATTATGAATAGTAACATTTTGATGAGCCACTTCGTTATTTATATATTATTTTGGTAATCCTGCCTCACATGTACTTGTATACGTGTTTTTGCCTATTCTATATAACTTTTTAAAAGGGAAATATATGATATGATAAGTCAAGTAATTGTAATGTGCAATACGGTAATCCGAACGAAGGACCATTGTGTGACTGAAATAGTGGACCACACTGGACATAAGTGCAGGTATGAGGCAATATGTTGAGGGCGCTGACACTCGCGGACTCTGTTGTGGAGGCATTCGAAGCTGAATAAGAAAAGGTATAAACAGATTGAAAGTTTTCATGAGATACAAAGTGTACTTAATGAAACAGCATAGTACTAAAAAAAATTCCTCAATATCAAATTAAAATATAACATAGCTCATAACTATATTAATAATTATCAACTTCATTGTCACACAGGGCAATCAGTTTTTGGAAATTTTACTACGAATTATCTTAAAAACGTTCAGATAGACATGCATGCAGAATATCAAATGTATTACTGTATACTTTGAAAGCAAATCATAGGCCTATAATTTAAATGATTTTATTATTATTTATTAGGCCCTCAGCCTTTCGTTCACATCCTAAACACATTTCCGGTCTTCTACGTGAGCGCCGATTAAACTAAATATGCTCTTAATAAAACAATAATTAAAATTAAAGTGTAAAAAACAAAACAAACTAAACAATTTAGTTTGAAGACTACATTTTGAGTTTTGAATGAATGAATATTAAAGATATTTTGTAAAAAAATGGAAAACATTAACTGTCTGACAATAGTCTTACGTCATCGATTATGAGCTACAGAAAATATTGTTTAAAATATTATACCAGTCTTTCTTTATTTCATCTCATAAAGAAAACACGGATCATTTTGCTAAAAACATAACAGAAATTATTATCTGGAAATTGTTTTTGTTTGTTTGCTTGTTTGTTTGTTTGTTTGTTTGTTTGTTTTGATCCAATATAAGAGATAAATGTCTTTAAAAATATAGGCCTATGGATGGATCCAAGTAAAATTATTTAAAGAAAGATGTATAAGCTAAACTTCGCGCCATGTGGGATTTCCCAAAACATCGGTGGGAGAGAAAACTTAAAATATCAAATTTAGTTTATTGGCACGTTAGACGTTACTTTTGGGTGTTATGACAGTATGCTTATCATGCTTTCTTGTTTTACTTATAGACAAGAACTCTGTAACCTTTAGTCGTTAGTCGTTGATGAGCCTGACGTAAGCAATTATGCGTTTACCAATCAATGTACCGTACGCGTGTCTTCATTCCGTTTGCTGCGCGGTATTCATCTGCAGAGCAAAATTTGTCAATATACGAATAAAGACGACGACTAATGCTGATGTAGAATCAATATTTATTATTTGGTAAACTGTATTCCAACCTTCTTAACTTTGACACAACAACGCTAAAATATAATATATGATACAGGGTGTGTCATATCGCTGCTGTTTGAGAGTACAAACGAAACATGATATTTTAATTATCTTCATCTCCGTGTCATAATTTACCTCATCGCGATCACAAGGTCGGTATAGATGGTATTGGCAGAGAGCTCAATCGTAGTAATGGGAATATCGCATCTTAAAATAAATATTTATCAAGCCGATTGATAGCAACATCGTATCCTATTGATGTGACCTTTAATAATTTAAACCGATAAACGCAAAAAGCAGAATGTATATATACAATTTATTTATTTATTTATATATTTTTTCTATCAGTTGTTTTAGAGAGCATTATCATTGGAGTAATAATTGTTTCTCAAAAAGAATCCACTACTTTTATCAGTCAGAAAATAAACAGTTATTTATTATTTATTTATTCAAAATCCAACTGCGTGTAAAAAACATAAAATGCAAATTCAAGGTCGCGGTACACTATAAAAATACAAATGTACAGAATATAAAAATGAAATTACAACATTAAAATTTAGGTTTGGCATAGA